AGCGGTCACATCTACGGTGTTGGCTACATGTCCCGAGCTATTGGTGACATTGTCACAAGAGCCTTGGGGGGAGCAGGCACAGAAGAGCGGGGATGAAATGGAGGGTCTGGCGATTCTGTCACCAGCGCTCCGAGGAACAGCGAAGCAGGTGTGGGATTACCGAAGTTCAAGGCAGTCAGCACCACACCCCAGACCGTTTTCGATCTCTTGGTATGTGACCTGTCACCCCGCCCACATATTCCCATCAGCCTGTCAGGACTGGGTCCCGATGCGCACTCTTCGGAAGCATGCGCCCAATGTGCAGACGAGGAGGGGCACATCCAGGGCAAGTGCGCGGCGGCTCGGAGGCGCACTTTCCGAGCAGCGCCGCTGGTGGACCACCCCGCGCCCAGCGCGTCCACGACGCGCGGGCGGACTTACATTCTGGATGGAAGGCCATCGGGGTAAGCACGGTTGGCCTGCGCGGGCGCAGGCGGTGGCAGCGTCAACGCGCAGCGCCTCCGAATTCTGGGGCCCGCGCAGCAGACTCGCGCAGCTTTCTAGAGGTTGGCGCGCGTGGCGATGATCTGGTCAGTGGCGAAGTCAGACTTCAACAAGTTTCGCCAGGCGGCCTGCGTCTCGTCGCGCCTCGGCGGCATGGCGCGCGAGCGCGCGGACGAATGGCCGCCCGTTGTCCCGACCCATGGAGGACTCATCAACGGCGACCCAGCGAGCGGCGTTGCGCCATGCAGCGTCGTCTTCGGACGGCAGCCACCTACTTATGCTGCCACCGCTTGAAACTGAGGTATCCAGTGCCTGTGGCACCGGTGATGGACCTCTTGCTGGTGGAGAAGCGCAGCCCAGCCGAGTGCAGCGGCGCATCCGAGAGACCGCCTTGCAAGCGCGTGATCGAGGCCACGTCGATCTCGCGCGTCAGCCGCGTACTTCGGCCCCGCGCCGCCGAGTCTGGAAAGGGCCGCTTCATTTTCGACGACGCAGTGGGGGCCCACGGGCCCCCGAGCGCGATGACGCGCCGGGCTGGGCCAGCCCCGGGGCGGTCGCTTCTGCAGACCTGGCTCGGGGCAAGGTGGTGGCCAAGCACCGCCGCGCCAAGAAGGTGCGCAGACTGCAAGACGCCCGGGCGTTCATCGGTGCCATCTTGGGCGACGTGGGCGCCAGCGTGGCGCGAGCAGGCTTGGCCTGGGCCACCTGGAGCACGTGCGCGCGCATCGCCGAGCAGACCCCCAGGCGCCCAGACATCCTCGAAGCCCGGCGCCATCTGCCCCGCCGATGCGTTCAGCTGCCAGACGCTCGTGCCATATCTCTGATCGGCGGCTGGAAACCCGCGGGCATTGCAAGGAAGCCTGCGTCATTCGGTTGGTCTTGGGTGACGAGCCACTTCTGGTAGCGGACGCCAGACAGGGCCCTAGCGGACCGTTCGACGACCGCGTCGCCAGCGCCCCTGAGGACTCCGCCAGCACCGCCGAATGCGGTTCGCGAGCGGCCCTGCCCGAGGAGACCGACAGCGACTTCCCTGGCCGCGTTCGACAGGCGACGTTGGCAGTTTGGTGCGAAGTCCAAGGAGCAGAGGACTTGGTCCGAGAGCTCGAGGAGCTGGGAAGCGCCGACAGTCAGCAAAATATCTTCGCTGCCGTCGCGCACGCCGCGCCCGGCCTCGGCCGCCCGCCCCGCGCGTGCCCCCGGCGCCGCGAGACGCAGCGCCAGCGCCAGAGCATCCACGCGCAGCACAACTACCTGCGCGGGGCCCCCTTGGCCTGGTGCAACATGCTAGAGGGGGAGGACAGAGGGGGGAGACGCGTGGAATTGTACCTGGATCCAGGGGTGCGCGAAGCAAATTTACGGTTCAACAAGGCAGCGTTTAGCGACTGTGTCGCTGGCGCTCCCTGGGCAGCCACGCTCAACGTTCGCGGCGCCGTTGAGACCGCGCGACGCTGGCCGTCCGTCCAACGAAGGCGCGTCGAGGCTGTCAAAGGAGGTCGCAGCGGCGATCCTCGAAGAGCTCACCGCCTGGGTCAACAATTGAAAATGTTTCGAGAGGCGACCGACCGAGGGCGCGCGAAACGCGATGGGCCCCAGACGCGTCTTCAAGTGGAAGAACTAGACAGGGTCGTGCGACAAGACAACGCGGATAATCCGGTGCCGCGCGGCGTTGATGGGGCTTCCGCGACATGGGTGCCCGAGCCCTAGAGACGCGCGTCGCCGTCGACGTCGAGATGGCGCCCCCGCGGGGCGCGACCTGCGCCGACATGCAGGAACAGGGCGAGGCGCCCCGCGAGGCGGTCTCCGCCCTGCCCCCCAGCAGCGCAGCCATCTTCCGGCAATTGCCCGCCCACGAGAGCAACGACGAGCGGGCCGAGCGCCTGCGCTGCATCAAGTCGGGCGCGGGCTGCAAGGATGCGCCCCGAGCCTTCTCCACGAAGCTCGCCCAGGTCACGCGCTCGCTAGAGTGCAGCGCCGTGCCCGCGAGGCGGGGCCCGAAGCTCGAGGTCAAGCACGAGGCGCCGGGCGCTTGTGGCGCCGGCGTTCTGGACGAAGCGATCGCATTGTCCAGGCACGTCGACGATTTTGGACACTAGGAGCACGTCGGTCCGGTAATCGGCCAAATCGAGAGCGCCCGCGGCGAGCTCACCGGCGCCGCAGTGCCGGTGGCACCGCGACGCTCGACCTGGGCGAGTACATCGACGTTCCGACGCCGATCAGACACGTCGGCCTGGCTACGGCGCAGGCTGACGAGCTTGCCGGATGTCAGCTTCCAGACCTCTTTGTCTCCCTCTTGGGAGCAGCAGCCTGCGCCCTGCTCACCCAGCACCGCGTCGCTGCGGACATCGTCGCCCTGCAACGAGCCCAGAACGAGGTGCTCATCCGACGCGCGATGCAGCTTTCGCCGTCTGTTCTGGCCACGCTTCAGAGCGCGCTGGGCGATTCGGCGCGCGCAGCGACGGGCCGCCCAAGAGGGCGGAGGAGACAGGATGCGGCCGTTTGCATGCGTCTTGGCAGGCGCCGCCGCGCCAGCGACCGGGCGCGCCACTTTGTTGGGCGCATTCAGCCGATCGCGCATGCAGGCGCGCAGGTCCTCATTCGGTCCAGGGCTGCTCGCAGCGTGCGACGCAGCCGACGGACTGCAGGCGCGCCTCCTCGCGCTGCGCGAGATGGTGCACGGCCCTGCCTCTGCCGAGGAGATAAAGGTGCTGGGGGAGGAAGGGGATTGCGCGATCCTTGCAGATGTCGCCATTGACGGCGCGTCCGTCTTCGGCGCCCTGCTCATGGACCCGGCGCGCCCGCCTTCCGAGAACAGGCCGGGCCACCTGCGGCGCGCCGAGGAAATCGAGGACCAACCCCGGTGCGACTCCAGGGACGCGCGAGCCGACGCCATAACCGAAGGCAGCCTGGGCTAGGCTCTCATCCTCAGCGTGAGGGGCGGCCAGATCAGCTACGACCATGACGCGGTCAAGGTCAGCGACGAGAAGACGAAGGCCGCCCCGAATTCCCAGCACAGTTCCTTTTACCAGCAGTGAAGAGTTTCTGCGGGCAACGTCGGGTGAGAGCTACGGGGGGTAGTGCACTCGAGTGAGTGCTGCTCCAGCTGAGCAGCAGTCGTTTTTGCAGGCGTTCCACCAATAGTTTGTCGCGCGCAGATTGCACACATGTTTTATGAGCGCGGTCAGCAGAGCGCTCATCGCAGGATTTTGCATCACGAGTGCGGCCAGTAGAGCACTCGCACGCACAAGGCACGGCGGACTTGGTTGAGCACCAGAACACTCGAACAGTAGCCCTGCCTATCTCACCCGTTCCTTGCCTGTGCCCTCGCTGCCCTGCTTCCGCGGCCCTGTGCAATTTGGCCAAGCATCGCGCCCGCTGTTCATTGCTGTAAATATTCGTTGTTAACCTTGTATCCCGCCTTTCAGAAATTATCCGATCTCAAACATTCACTCTTGCATTCATTTCTCCCGCCTCCTCCCCATCCTCCTGCTCAGGCGGCGCGCCTGGGGGGGAGGGGGACGTGAGAAAGGGCAGGCTGTTTCAGGGCGGGACTTCTCGCATGCCCTCCGGCCTGTTGAGAGTTTTTTATGTTTGCTATTGAATGGGAGGCTTAGAGAACGTTTCAGAAAGCCCCCAGGCTGGCCGCCGAAGCTTGGTTACCACGGCCGACGCCACCGTGTCGTAACCGATCTTCTGGATGTTGCCGGGGCGGAGCGGGCGCTCCGCAACGAGCACGTGGACACTTGGCCACCAGACGGACTCCAAGCCGGGCCAAGGCTCGCACGCACAAGTCGCACGTAGCGGCACACGCCAGATTGCATGTGCGCCCCCAAGGTATGTCTGTCAGAAGCCCGTGCAATATGCAAGTCGCGCGTCCTTCTTAGTTGCATGCAATCACTACACAGTCTAAGGCGCAGTCACCCCACATGGCATGTCGCGGCTGGGGTGTGCACGAGAGTGGTTGATTGAAGTATGCGCACTTCAGAGCATACGACCCGCCACCTGCTCACAAACAGCGAAGTGTACGCCACTTGTCGCTGGTGTCGCACCTGGTGCACCGCGCGCGCATGGCGTCCATATTGGTTATCGGCGGCCGTCGATGGGATGGCAGGCGCTGCCAGTACCGAATCAGATCTTGATGATGTGTAGGGGGGCGGATGGTAATCGAGACTGCTCTATGTTTGCGTACTTCGGAGAAGTTAACATTGACCCTTCCATTTACCCTCCATCCTCACAGTCGTTGCTGTCCTCCTCCGCATCCCCCGCATTCTCCTCCTCCTCCTCTTCAGCCTCCTTTTCCTCCTCATCCCTCCTCCTCCCCCTTCTGCTCCTCGCCTCCAGTTGTTGTTTCGTGCCAGTCGGGTGATCGCAGGTCTTTATCGTGGGCATCACCGATCGAGCGCTCGCTGACTACCCGGCCTGGCCGCCCTGGCCGCGCGATCGGTCTCGACATCGTTGTCGCGGCCGAGGCCCCAGCCGTACGATCGGGAGCGGGAGGTTGGCATGGGATGGGCGCTCAGGTCGCGTGGCCCCGGGCCTTGAAGGCCAGCCGTGGCAGCGATGAGAGGTGGCTGACGAGGCAGTTCGAAGCTTTTGTTAAGCAGGCGGGCGAAGTCGAGCTCATGCACGGATCCGTCGTGCAGCTGCGTGCGGGGCCTCCGGAGCCACGGCATCAGGCGACGTCGGAGGCAGCCGACGTCGGCGCCAGCCCAGCGGCTGCTTCCAGCAGCCCGCCAGGCTCGGCCGACCGAAAGTCCAGCCCGACGTGGGCCCGGGCCGGAGGGGTGGGAGGAGCGCCTCCCCCGCCCTGGCTCACCCCCTGGGGGGAGGGCCCTTGCCAGGGAGCCCTTGGTCTGGGCCCGCCCCCTGGACTTTCGAAGAAGATAACTCTTGGATCGGCACAGGACTCCCGTGCAGCGTTCCCCCCCAGATGTCTCGACCCATTCCCTGGGACCGGCTCTTCATCCATAGTTGTTTTTTCATAGTCCCAGAGCCTGTTAACGGCCCCGAGGGGCTGAAAGCAACGAAAATTCCGTCGTGACTTTTTCATGGCCCGAGGGCCTTGGACTTCCAGCCATTCCGCAGGCCGTCCACCTGGCGTCAGTAGCAGCTCGGGGACCACGGACCTCTACGAGGGCCTCTCTGACATCGACGACATCTATCAACAGGGCGGCGCGCCTCCATGTGAGGCTTGGGGGGCCAGATATGATCCCGGGCTCCAGGCCCACGCCCCCCCCTCCAGATGGGATCTGTCTCAGGGTCCGTCGGGCCCCCCCCCCTCACAGATGGGATGGGGGGGGCGATGACGACGACGACGACGAAGACGACGACGACGACGACGAAGAATGAGAGGGGCCTAATCGGCTACAAGTAGGTAAGTAGTGCCAGGTTCGCCCCGTCGTTCGTCCGCCGCGCGGCGCTAGTGGGTAAGTCATCCAGGTTCATGCCGTCGTTCGTCGCGGCCGCCACTTGACCTGCGGTAAAACACCAACATTTCGGAAGGAATGCGCGTAGGGCCCCGTCGGCCCCGAGTCCTATTGGAAAACCAATGGTTTTTTGACCAGTTCTCTTGATCTGGGATTCTCGCATACCTTTTTTTTCGTCTTGCGATCCCGGCTCAGAGACAAATTAGAATCCAAGAGGTAAACGCCAACATTTTGGAAGGAATGCGCGTGGGGCCCCATCGGCCCCTATTCCTATTGGAAAACCAATGGCTTTAAAACCGTTTCTCTGGATTCGGGGTTGTTGTGTGTGTATATAGATGTATGTATATATATATGTATATATACATATATATATGTGTATATATATATATATATATATGGATTCGTCTGGCGATCCTTGCTCGGAGACCGAATCGAATCCAAGAGGTAAAGCACGAACATTTCGAAAGGAATGCGCGTGGGGCCCCACTGGTGCTGATTATTTTCAGAATGTGTGGAATGCTTGTTTCGCGGATTCGTTCAGGAATTTATTCATCGAAACTTCGCAAATTTGCGTGTGTTTTTTGTATATAAAAATCTGCAGTCTTTTGTTCATCCCGAAAAGTTAGTAATTAGAGGTTGTTTGGTGTGTTGTTCGTCGATTGAGTGGAGTAGTTCACGTCGAAATGCGAGTTTGTCTGTCGTTGTTCGAGAAGGGTTGGTATGTTTCTTCATGTCGCGTTGTTTGTCGATAGAAAAGGGGCTTCAGTATTCAGGAAAATCAGTTCGTTTGTCGTCTTTCCCCAGTATGTAGTTCAACCTATAGAGACCCCCGTCATGACGAAGACACGTCCGCTCTGGCTCCCTGAAGCAACGCGACACCACGCCACACCACGAGAGGCGTCGACGGGGAAGAGCACGACGACGACGACGACGACGACGACGGGACGACGACGACGACGACGACGCGACGACGACGACGACGACGGACGACGACGACGACGACGACGACGGACGACGACGACGAGCCACAAAGATACGGCTTTATTGCGAAGGCCTGACGGCCGGTGCCGCCGGCCCTGTTCGCAACGCGCAGCAAGAGGCACGGGCTGTGGGATGGTTTGGGGGAACGGGGAGAAGGACGAGAAGGTGGGGGGGGGAGGTGTCGTATCTGACCCGGGACTTCCCCGGGGCTCCCCCGGGACCCCCCCCGGGACCTCCTCTCCCCCCCCCCGTCGGGAAAGGGAAAGGGAAGGGGCTTCCCTTCGACTCAATGACGACGTTGCTCAAGGTCGGTACGGGGGGGGGGGCGTCGTATCTGACTCGGGGGGGGGGGTCGCTACCCCGCCCCGCTACCCCCCCCCCCCCTCCCGGCGGGGGAGGAATGAAAGGGAAGGGGCTTCCCTTCGACTCAATTACGAGGTTGCTCAAGGTCGGCTTGGCTGGAGCCGGGAAGAGGAGTCCCAGGGGGGGGCGTCGTATCTGACCCGGGGGGGGGGTCGCTACCCCCCCCCCCTCCCGGCGGGGGAGGAATCAAAGGGAAGGGGCTTCCCTTCGACTCAATTACGAGGTTGCTCAAGGTTAGGCCTGGCGGAGCCAGGGGAAGAGGAGTCCCAGGGGGGGGCGTAGTATTCTGAACCGCGGGGGGGGGGTCGCTACCCCCCCCCCCCCCTCCCGGCGGGGGAGGAATGAAAGGGAAGGGGCTTCCCTTCGACTCAATTACGAGGTTGCTCAAGGTCGGCTTGGCTGGAGCCGGGAAGAGGAGTCCCAGGGGGGGGCGTCGTATCTGACCCGGGGGGGGGGTCGCTACCCCCCCCCCCTCCCGGCGGGGGAGGAATCAAAGGGAAGGGGCTTCGACGACGGACGACGACGACGACGACGACCGCGACGACGAAAGCCGACAAAGATTACGCCTATGACGGCTCGGATGCACGATTTGCAAAATTGGCATTTCCGTTCCGTCAAGTGTTAAGCAGCCTCTCCTGCGTCTTCTTTTTTCTTTCTTCTATTTTTTTTTTTTTTCTCCTCCCCCCTTTTTTTTTCCTGCATCTGCCTCACCACCTTCTCCATTCAAACCTGTCAAGTGTAGCAGCTTTACATGCGTAAGACGGCGATGCATGTGCCGATGCAGATGCCGATGCCGACGCTGATGTCGTCGTCGTCCTCCTTCTCCTCCTCCTCTTCCTCCTCCTCTTCCTCCTCTTCCTCCTCCTCTTCCTCCTCCTCTTCCTCCTCCTCCTCCCTGATGGGGGGGGGAGGGCCAGACCCCATGCCCACCACCGCAATCCCACAGGGGAAGACCGCACCACGCCACGGCCACGGGGGGGAACCATTGCGCCGAGGGGAGGGGCGCGGACCCTGAATCGGATATGCCATAGCTCCTGCACGCGCGGATAGGAGTGTAGGGGGCGAGTTTTCTTTGTCCAGATTCGAGAAACAACATCGAACCAAGACAATATAACCAACGATAGACGCCGACGTACAGTCCATTCGTTGTGGAATCTTCGGAGGCTTCTTGGGGGCCTCTTGAGGCGTCTTGGGCCGTCTAGAGGCGCTCTTGTCTCTTGCGCCGTCTGGCCCCTTTTGAGGCCGTCTTGGAGGCCTCTCGGGGCCGCCTTTGAGTCTTTCTGGGCCGTCCTGAGAGCCTCTTGGACTGTCTCGTGAGCTTCTTCGAGCCTTCTTAGCAGTGCTTTCGGGGCCGTCCTGGGGCCCTCTTGGGCTGTATGAAGGCCCTCTTGGAGGCTGCCTGGGCCGTCCTGGGCCCCTGACGTGTTCCAGAAGGGACGTGCCCTTGCGCAGCCCCGAACCAGCGCCACTGTTCGGCCTCCGGGCCCGCCCGCCTCTCCATCGACCCCCTTGCCCCGGCCAGGTCCCTAGGCCCCTCGGGCCCCTACCCCCCCGCGCCCCACGTCATTGCGATCGCCACCCAGCCAGGCCCACCGACCCCCCAGGAATAGGAGGCTCGATCCGTCACGCCTGGCCACGCCCTCAGGCCCCCCAGCGAAGTCACAGATCAGAGGTAGAGCGTGGGTAGTATATGTTCTTATCGTGTGCTCATGCGATTTCAGAGACATTTGACATATAGCCTGCGTCTGAACATCTGGGCTCAAGCTTTCAGATAATCCGCGATTTCCGCTCTGGTAGCCGAGCCGCCCACGGGCGGCGCGCGCGCGCGGCCCCGCACCACCAGGCCAGCGCCTGTCGCGATAGACGCGGACGGGATCATCGAGGAGGTGATCAAAATCACCAACAGGGCGAACAGCAAGCCCAAGGAGGTGCTACGCAACATCGACCAGCACAGCAGCAAATCCAAAGAGGTGCTACGCAACATCGACAAGCACATCAACGTTATAGGCGACTTCCTCGTCACGTCTACGGCTTGGTGGGACGCTTCTTACCAGTATTGACATTGATAGAGTTTCCACCAACGAATTTAGTCACATTCGGTCAAACATAAGATCATCCGGTGGGAAAGTTAATTCACCTTGGGAAAGCACACGATTATCACATCGACGAGCTCATTCCCTGTGGCAAAGCATTCAATTATCCTTTTGAGCTGGCAGCAGCAAGTATGGACTTCATAGGTCAGTCGTGTCCGCCGGAAAAGGGCACTATACAGACACCTCCCGGCTGGAAGCCGGGCGTCGCCAAGTATGGAGTCAAAAAATACGTGCACAAGTTATGTCTCTGGTGGAGAACCATGATTCTTGACGATGATGCAGTGGAAGCCCTTCCCGCTCTTCAGAGATTGCGAGGAGGAGTGTGCAAGCAAGCGTTGCTATTCAAGGTTATGGCATGGAGTTGTAGAAAATGCTTTTGCGTTGACACGAGAAGAAGCTGAGCCAGTTAATGGAACAGTGGCCTAACCTTTCAGGCCTCAGCTTACTAACGCGATGGTTGGAGCAAGATTGGCCCATCGACAAGTTCTTCTAGTTCAAGAAGGGCCCAAGAGACCTCGGACAGTACATGGCAGACTTTGAGCTTGCCTATGTCGAGGCATCAAATCAAGCTGGATCGAATGACGCAGTTGGTAACAACTACTTACTATTGCAGGGATGAGATCTATCAGCGAAACATATCGACGACATGCCGTTTAAGATAGACGGCTACTTGCGACGCCACAGCGACATCAAGGTCATCATGAGACGCATCGCCAAGCAGTCCCTGGCCTGGAACAGTCCTGACCAGTGAGAGGGTTACGAGGGGTCGGTTTGGACAGAGAGGGGATCACTGGGGCTACGAGGGTCATTGCGACGTTTGCGGACAATGGCACTGCTATGAGGATGGTGATTGGGAGTCCACCTGGTGGGACAACGATGATGCTGATAATAACGAGTGCGACCGCCAAGATGAGAACGGCGAGTTTTTAGAAGGGCGCGGGCAAGAGAGGCCCCAAGCACAACCTTGGCAATTGCAGCCAGCGTAGTTCCAAATGCCACAAGACAGCGGACTGCCCAGACGAAAAGACGGCGGCAACGGAGACGAAGGAGGACCCAGCGAAGGTAACGGTAAGTACCGGTACAACGGTAAGTGTCGTGGATGTGGTAACGGTCGCGAAACACGCGAGCAAACCAAGGGGCGCTACGGCGACGATGACGATGGGGATTTGGATGGCGACTGGGATCAATCACGCGGAAGATGGGACACCGAATTTCAGCATCATCTTGACAGAGCCAGCCAGCCTGCGCGGTGGGCGCCGATCATGGCCATATTTTAACCGACTGACGCCCCCAGCAACACATCATCACGGCCACCCCTCCAGAAGG